GGTGGAAGAGGGCTGGAAAGGACACTGGGGAGAGAAAGGAGGCAGAGAGGCGGAGAGGGGTGGATTTCAGGGGGAATGGAGGGCGCTGAGGAACGCAGAGGAGGGGCAGGGGTGAGAGAGTGCACAGCGGGCCTGGAGGGGCGCAGCAAGGGCTTGGCAATATTCCCTCCCCGCGTGCTGGTGGCTCACGTAGGGAGGCCACCAAGGTTGTGCCAAAGCCTTGAGCCCAGGAAGGTGCAGGAAAGGAAAGAGGTAAGGCCGGCGTGCATTCCATGTGTGCAAATTGAAGGCGCCAAGCACTCCCCGCCCTGCTTGGTGTGTTGGGGTTGGAGTAACTCTGCTGGTTCCCTCCGTCCCCTCTTCCCCAGCCCCCAGCTGAGAAAAGTCAGGTGGGGGAGATCCACCAACAAGCTGCATCCCCAAAGCTAGACCCATTCCCCACGCCTGCCTCTCTCCAGGACTGGGAAGCGGTTTACAACCAAGTCGAGCAGAGCGAACTCTTAAATCATAGGGACTCGAGTTCATTCGGCGGCTGCACTTGCTGGAGCTAAGTGGGGGCAGCCTCGGACTCACACTTCCAGATGCTTCCGGGACGAGTGGGGGGAGGCCTGGCTGAGAGGAGAGGAAGTGACTTCCAATGTGTGTAAAGACTCAGACTCTCCTTGGATCGAAGAGTCAACAAAACCCATGGATGGGTAGCCAGAAACCCTGAGATGGTTAGAGGAGGTGGGGAGGGAAATGCTGTCTTCAACTGCGGGGTTCTAAATGGAGAAGAGAGGAGAGGGACACTGGATGCGGACNACTGCGGGGTTCTAAATGGAGAAGAGAGGAGAGGGACACCGGATGCGGACACAGGGAGATTGCCTCTAGGGAAAGGAGTGGCGAATCGTGGCCTGTGGCCTAACCCAGCGGGCACGGGAGCTGAGCATAAGCTAAGAGGGAGCCCCAGAGAGAATCTGCGGAGCCCCGGGTTTCAGATGCCGTGGTCTCCCACATTTACCTTTGCTGGGTGGCCCATTTTGTGGATGAGAACACTGAGGCTAAGAGCAGAGAAGAAGGCCTGGGAAGTTGAAGGGGCCAGGACTCCCTTGAAGCTTATTCTCCAAAAGTGGTGCCTTTTCAACAATTTTTAAAGGGCGACCAAACAGTAAAAGAAGCAGAAGGAAAACAGCGCCAAGAGGAACTCAGGAAGAGTGGGTACTTTTTCATAAGCGCTCACACCCTCAACCTAGAGCAAAGGCCCAGCTCCCTTCTCTCCGCAGCCCTCACCCCTCACTCACCCCGGAGGGCACCTCTTCCCAGCTCATTTATCTGCAGCTGGTCTAGCTACTCTGGGCTCAGAGGTCCCAGTCCCCACATCTGACTAAGCCCCACCTCCCTCTCCCCTCCAGGTCTGCTGGCAGAAAAGGACAGTAATTACTGTCTCTGCAGGACACCCTGCAACCTGACCCGCTACAACAAAGAGCTCTCCATGGTGAAGATCCCCAGCAAGACATCAGCCAAGTACCTCGAGAAGAAATTTAACAAATCAGAAAAATATATCTCGTAAGCACAGGGTGCATGTGGACAGGGGAGTTGGGGGGAATATGAAGACAAAGATGATTAACACGCAGCCCCTGCCTTTAAGGAGCTTATAGTCTTGCAGGGTGACAAGTAGACAGCTGAATGCGACAAAGGCTGGCACAGGCAGTAAGGATACAGGGAGATGGCTGACTGCACCTTGCATGGAGATGCGGTCAAGGAAAGCTTCAGAGGTTTTTAAAAATGATGCATAGGAGTTTTCCAGGCAGGCTTTGCACATTCTGTTCCCTCTTCCCAGAATGCTTTTCCTCTCACTCTTCACCTGACTGGTCCCTTGTTGTGCAGGTCTTCATTTAAATGTCATCTCCTCAGACAGCTGAATGAGAACCCCTCCATTATTTTTTTCTCGAAGCTCTTACGTTTTTCTTTATAACACTCACTGTGTAATCCTAGATTCACATGTGTGTTTCCTTTTTATTACCTGCTTGGCTCACTAAATTGAAAGCTCCCTGAGGGCAGGAATTTTCCTTTTTTGTTCTCTGCTGTGGAGTGCCTAGCACATGGTTGGTGCTCAAAAAATGTCTTTTAACAGAATAAATGAATGAAAGGCACCCATAGAGGGTGTCACAGGCAGAGCTCAGCAGAGGGAAGCAACACTGGACACAAAAGAATTGCAAGGAAAGCTGGGTGGGACCAGCGGCTGTGTCTGAGCAATAGGGTGCTGTCGGCTGAGCTGGGTGTGAGGAGGAGGTGGGGGTGCTGGGCGGGGAGTGGACTTTATCCTAAGAGCCTCAGGTAGGTGAGTGACAGGCTCAGATTTGTGTGTTAGACCACTGCTCTTCAATAGAACATTCTGCAATGAGATGTTCTGTATTTGTGATGTCCAGCATGGTAACCACGAGCCACATGTAGCTACTGAGCATTTTAAACATAGCTTGAGTGACTCGGAAACTGAATTGTAATTTTATTTCATTTGAATTACTTTAGCAGTTTTAGAAAGATCCTTTGGGCAGCAGTTTAGAAGATAGATGGGAAGCCAGATGGGCAGAAAGGAGCTCGTTAGGAGGTAGTTGCCATAAACCAGGCAAGAGATGGTGGCACTTGGGCGCCTCGGAGAGCCCTGCATGGAGAGAGGAGGGTTTGCTCCTCTCTCTCCATCCACTCCCTCTTGCCAACACAGTCGCCAGAGCCCATCCTGGGACTGATATCTGCAAAGCTGACTGCTCTTGTTCGGTGGGTTGGGCACCAGGCATTAAGGGCATTGTGAACAGCATTGAAGGAGATGGGGAATTGTAGGAGGCGCCAGGTCCCACTGCTGAGCAGACATTCTGCAGGCAGCGACTCCTCCTGCCAAGATGTATCTCATTAACGCATCTGCCTAGAGGAAAAGAAGGGAACCAAGGTACTTCTGCCAGAAAACCCCCAAGCCAGATATAGGTTTGTGCCCTCAAAAGCCACTCGGGCTCTGGCAGCTCATTGGCAATGCCAGGCTGGGGCCTCCCACTGGGAGAACCTTGTTGTAAATCCCAGTGGGAACTGGGGGGACTCTCGGGAGTGGGCAGGGAGGTCAGCTGAGGCAGGCAAGCCTCGATGAGAGAGTCCTGAGCTCACTTGCAGGTAAGGACCCAGGCAGATCCTTTGGGGGCCCATGAACCTGGAGGCCAGGCAGCACTCCTGGAAAGCGTGCAGAGGGGGGGAGAGAAGTAAGAAGCAAAGGGGTACAGCTGATATGTGCCCCCAGTCCTGTGAGGAGCACGGGTTTCAAGGCCCTGCTCTGCCACTGATCAGCTCAAACCCTGTGTCAGCTGTTTTGCTTCCTGGGGCCTCAGTTTCTCCATCTGGCCAAGGGAGAGCTGTGTTAGATGATCCCGTGGATCCTGGTGGTTCCACCCATGCATGGTACAAACGTTCCCCCTGCAGAGAGAACATCCTTGTCTTGGATATATTTTTTGAAGCTCTCAATTATGAGACGATTGAACAGAAGAAGGCGTATGAAGTCGCTGCCTTACTTGGTAAGTTGGAGCGTCTATTGCACAGATTTCCATCTCTCCCAGGAGGTGGGAGGGAGAGGGTGGCGGGCGGGCGGCAGGCAGGCGGGTTGCTATACACGCCTTCTGACAAGCCCAGCCTTTATGCTCAGGCACTTCCCTCCATCCTTGCACTACTCCTGTCCCAGAACTGGAAGAGCTCCAGTGTGCTGCAGGCTTTAGGCCAGTTCATGCTGCACTCTCCGTCTCAGTTTCCCCATCAACACATTGAGGCAGGTGGGCTGAAGGTCTCCCAGGGCCTTTCCAGAGCTGCCCTCTTGGATTTGGAGGCCTTCTGCCCCCAGGTTGGAGTCAGAGCCTTGGGGCCTGGCAGGAAGAAAGAGCGATAAGATGCAGGGAAGGCGGAGCTGTGGGTGGTCCCAGGCCAGGGACACAGCGAGGGCCCCCAGTAGCACCCCCACCTGGAAGGCCAGGTGCCCCCCTGGACTGAGTCCTTTATTAAACACAAAAGAAAGTCCACTCATCCCCAAATATCTACAAACCTGACTGCCACCCCACACAAGTTCCCCCGGCCCCATAGGCATATGATGGAAGCGGGGAGTCCATTTCAACCTTGCCTCAGTCCAATGCACAATTCACAAGACCCCTGAGGGCAGACAGCTAGAAGACCTGCTCCTTGGGCCCTCCTCCCAGCTCCCACTCACTCTCAGGAAAAGACCTGCTCCCAGCCAGTGTGGCTTAGTTGTTGAGGATCAACCCAGGCACCAAGAGGTCACCAGTTCGATTCCCAGTCAGGGCACATGCCAAGTTTCAAGCTTGATCACCAGTAGGGAGCATGCAGGAGGAAGCCAGTGTTTCTAACTCTCTATCTCTCTCCCTCTCTCTCTAAAATCAATAAAAACATATTTTTTTAAAAAAATTATTTAAAAAAATAAAAAGAAAGATCTGCAAGTAAAAATAGCTGTTGTTGCCTCTGTGAGCTGAATTGGGCTGGGGGAGGGGACCTAGACACCTTCTACCTGCAAGTATAAAAGAAATCAACTGTGAGAATGTAGGCCAGTGGCTTCTCCACACTGGCCCTCAGGTCTCTCATGTGTAAAATGGGTCTAATAAAACCCACTTTATGTGTTGGTTGTGATGGTTAAATGTGGTAAAGCCCCAGCTCACAGAAAGTCCATTAATAGTCATTCCTAGTACCTGGACAGTCTTCATGCCAGAGACCAGGACCCAGCTGGTGTTTCCAGGTGCCAGCGGGCCTTTCTGCACCTCTCCCAGGAGGCTAGGGGCTGGGCCACAGCTGGGTCCTAGCTGGATCGCTGTCACTTGGGCCTCTGAGACCCTTGTGGCCAAAGAGGCTGAGCCTAGAGACTTGTGCCCTGGTCCCGAGGTAGAGGTCATGCACCAGAGATGTGGGTCCCTCCCCTGCCCTCGCCACCTTCATTTCCTAAAGGGGGCTCAAGACATGCCTCCTCCCCACTCCCACATAAGCTCACAGTGTCTCTCTCTCTCTCTCTCTCTCTCTCACACACACACACACACACACACAGCGAGGGGGGCCTGAGCTCTGCATCTGTCAGGAGGGACAGCTCGTCTCCCCATCAGCTATGAGGATGAGAATCCCCAGCATTTTGTTCCTTCCCACCTGGAATAGCCACTGAGAAAAGCACCCGGCATCTGTAGCTTCGTGGTGGGAGTGTGTGCCCTTGTGAACCTCAGCCACCGGGGCTTCAGGCCCTCTCTCACTGCCACAGGGCCCGCACCCGCACCTCACCGCACACGGCCCCCAGCGGCTGCACAGACCCACCTGCACTCCATTGCAGGCCTGCGGACTCACACTCATTACAACTGCTTATGCACACAAACACACACCGGCACATGCTCACTCATGCTCCACACTCAGGCACACTGTGCCCACCTCCACAAAGCCACACACACTTAGACATAGAGAGCCACCTATATAGAGCTGTCAACAGCCAGATGTATTGCCTATTTCTATACAAACACGTGCGCACCCAGCACCCTGGCACATACCTCCTGCATTCAGTCACACTTCATGCACATACAAACACACAGTCACACCCTGTGAGCACACACATAAGTGCACACTGCCCGACACACTCCCATTAAGGACATTAGAGTGAGCGGTGAGGGAGGAAAGGAAGGAAGGGAGGCTTTTGAGCTCAGCACCAAGTCCCGCCAGGAAACACACCCTCCCCGCAATCTCGGCTTGTTCAGGATGTGGTTGTTGGGCTCCTCCCAGTTATCATCAGGGTAGGAGTGGGCAGATGTACCCATCAGGAAATTCCAGACCAGAGGTCATCCTGGAATATCCAGGACTGTATGCCCACCCCCAACAGCACCCCCACTCCCAGCACTCTCCCCAGCCCAGTCTTAGAGATTACAACTGGGAAGGACGTCACAGATCACCTCCTCCAACCCCTCCCAACCACCTTCACCACCAAGGGTCCTTTGAAGGCAATGCTACTGAGAAGATCAGGGCTCATCAAAACCACACAGCAAGCTGGTGGCCACTCCGAGCTCAGAGCCCCAGAGAGCAATGAGGAAAAGCACCTTGGGCTTCTGGGGGATCATAACTCCTTGGAAAATCAGCTAATATCTTCTCAAATATGAACTCTTCCACTGCAAGTGCCCAGGGGCACATAATAGGGTTTTCATCCATTCTGGGAGGTCTCCAACCATCTGAAGCTCCCACAGGAGAGTGGTTTTCAAACTCTGGTGGGCAGAGGACCACCTGGAGAGCACATAAATCCTGACTTCCAGACCCCAACCCCAGAGATTCTGATTTTGTAGCCTAGAGTAGGTCCAGGCCTCTGTATCGATTACAAGTCTCCCAGGAGTTTGATGCAGGGAGGTCTGATGATCATTCTAGAATAACTTTGGTCAAGGGGGTCCATTCATCCCAGGGTAAGAACCTCTGCTCTAGAAAGAGACCAAATTGAACATTTACCTTTGGGTAAGGGAGATAGAAGATGCTTCCAATGGCCTTATCCCAAAGGTGAGAGGTGCCCCAAGGTGGCCCTGAAGGCTGTGTCATGATTAAAGGCAGGGGGAGGCCTCTTGTGACATTGCTCCCAACAGTCCCACCCAGGGCACCTGGCACATTTCTCAGGCTAGACTGTGCCTTTGCCCAGGGCAAGGATCACACATGTCTTATCTCTGTACCTAGTCCGGAGCCAAAGCAGGGCCCAGTGAGTGTGGTTTCTAACGTAATTGGCAAGCCCATTAGTCTATGAGGTCTATTCTAGAACCCTCCAATAAGCACTCAGGTTAGTTGTCATCCTCACTAGGTGCTGCACACTGTCAGCTCTGAGAGCTGTGCCTCGAGGGAGAGACTTGTCAAAGGCCTGGCCTTCTAGTTTCAAGTCCAGGCTCCCCATGGTGGGAGAACCACTCAGAAGGTCTGATGTCTGAGTTCTGAGTCTGTTCGCCCTTCCTGGAAGTGCGAGTGAAGCCAAACCTTTTGTCTTTTCTGTCTCTCTCCAGGTGATATTGGTGGCCAGATGGGATTGTTTATTGGTGCTAGTATCCTCACAATACTAGAGCTCTTTGATTATATTTATGAGGTAAGATTTGGAATTAGTCGTGGGGAAATGACTACATGCGAGTCCTGGTGCTCGTCGGCCTTCCCACCCACATGTCCGCAGACCCAGCTGGCCCCAAGGACTCGGAATCCCTCGGGCACACCAGCTCTGCACAGGCCCCAGGCACTGGGTCAGCCCAGCAAACAGGGTCTGCCTCCCAGGGAGGGCTGCCAATGGCCAAAGCTCAGTCGCTGGGAACCACGGTGGGGCTGGAGGGCCCCTGCGACCAGGCTTCCCGGGAGCCCCACCCCATGCCTTTCAGCGTGGTAACCTCCTTCCCCAAGCCCAAACCACATCCCATGGCCAGATTTTATTCTGCTTTGTTTATTAATTTTGTGAGAAGCAATATAAAGTCATGGAAATTGAATCACACTAGGTAACATAGTTAATAACTTCCCTTTACTGCTTAGAAAAAATTGTTACGAACTCCACTGTGCCCTGATCATATGAACTGTGGAGTTAACAGGCTTAGAAAGTGATTGCAAACTTGTCCCCCAGGCCCAGCCTCAGAAAGGGGCCCAGGCTGCTCCTGAGGACAGATGGGGGGCCAGCCACGCAGGCACGTGCCACTTAATCACACTCTCCACCCACGAGGGAGGGTGGTTCACACCGCGAGACAGGGCCCTCCTGTGCCCTCTTCCAAACTCTAGCTCTTGCACCAAAATCCCTTGGCCGCCCAAAGATTAGGCAGAGGCTCCTGCCAGGCTGGGCTCCTGCCACCGTTTGTCCAGCCACAGCCCAGGCAACTGCTGCCACTTTGCTCCCCCCCGCTGAGGCGAGCGCAGGGAGGTCTCTCTACCTCCGCACATACCCCAGCGTGACACTCCCTTCCTGCCTTTCCTGCAGCTGATCAAAGAGAAACTATTAGACCTGCTTGGCAAAGAAGAAGATGAAGGGAGCCACGACGAGAACGTGGTAAGGGCCGTCTGTGGGTTGTAGGTCCATTTGCTCCTCTGGCCTATACAGGGGACATGAAACCAGGTTCGGGGGCCAGAGCAGGAGGGGAGGGCCTCACCGCACACCTTCCCATGGCTCGTGACACCCTGCCTGTCAGCTCCCAGATCCAAGACTAAGCCCTGAGCCTCTGTCTGAGACCCATCCCAGAGCCTGGTAGTGAGGTACCGATGCAGTGGATGCCAGGAGATGCTTCCAAGGGTTGGTCCTGCCTGGCCCAGTCCAGTTCCTCCCAGGCCAGGGCGCTACTCCCATTTCATGGCTTTGGGAGAGGGAGGCATGCTCTGTGGAGGTCTGTTCCCTTAGGCCCTGGGTGGCAGAATGCAAGCAGGGACGTCCCTGGAACTCTGCTCCATTTGAAGGGGACAGAGGGCGTGGGGCCCGGTGAAGCTTGGAGCAGCAACATACCCATACCCACGGCCTCCTGTTCACCTGCACGTGGTCAGACTCTGCTCCGGGACCTAAAAGGCCATGTCATTTCAGCTGGGCAGTCGCCCAGGGAAGGGTCGATATTTACCTCATTTTGTATTGGAGGCTGGTGGGGTCAACAGGCCAAGGTCACGGAGCTGGGGGTGTCAGACCTGGACACAGAGCTCCCCTAACCACTGCCCTCCTCTGCCTGTGTTTCCTAGAGGCAGAGAGGCAGCCCCTCTCATGGCCGTCCATTCTCCTTCCCAAGCTCAGGCCTCTCCTGGGCTCAGGCTCAGCCGTCTGGGGCGGGTATTGCTGGCTCCCAGTTCTGTTCCAGACACCATTTCTCCACCCTTCTCCCAGGCTCAGAATCTCCCCTTGGTTCTCTCAGGCTCCTGCAGCCTCTGTGTGAACAGGAGACAGCTGCTGTTGAGGAGGGCAGAGTGGAAGGGCCCAGACTCAGTACTGAGCTGACCTGGCTGGATCCCAGGTCCCTGCTTCTTAGCTGTGGGCCTGGGGACAAGTACTTATCTCCCTGAGCATCTGCCTCATCACAGGTGGAAGGACCTGGAGATGAAAGGCACTGGGCGGGGGTGGGGGGGGGTCATTCAGATGAAGTGAGACCAGCCTGTGAAGCAATCAGCAGGCCTAGTTTATAGTAAGAGCTCGGCAAGTGCAGCTTCTCACCAGCACCTTTCCTTTTGCCTTCAGAATGTCTCAGTTCCAGCGCCCCCCATCCCTTCCCTCTCCCCCACTCTCTCCCTTATTGAATCTCTCCAAATTCTTGGCACAGCCTCCTGGCTAGTCTCTCTGCTCCCATCCCTCCCAGCCTCCCACCCACAGCAGCCAAGACAGCCTGGGAATCTCCTTGAAGACTCACAGCCATCTCAGCCACACCCTGCTTAGGGACCCAGGAGGACTTTTTCCTGTGGCCAGCCTAACCCAAAGGTCATTTGGGCAGCTGTGACCAGCTCTGGTTCTGGCCATTGGAGGCCTCTGCCCCTGCAGCTTGGCCTCAGCGATCGGCACCCCTGCCCCAGGCCTAGCCACAAGCTACACCTCCTCACCCCAGATAGGCCCCAAAGGAGGCCCCCAAGGTCAAGGTTAGGATGGGTTATCCAGCCCCAAAGTTACACATCACTCAGATGTAGCTTCAAGTGGCATATCAGGGGGCCTCTAGGAGAGAAGGACAAACCCCATCACCAGAGCCCTCTCCCCGCCCCAGGGGGCACCTAGGTGGGCAATGGCAAGGATTCTGAAGGCAGTGAGGTCCCTCAACCTCATGCCTTAGATGACAAACAGGTGCCTGGGATGCCTGAGGCAGGAGCAGCAGTGCCCCAGGGAGCCCACAGTGAGGAACATTGTCCCCAAGGCTGCCAGGGGCACCCAAGGAATTTTTGAATGAAAATAAACACTGCCTTCCCTTCTCTCCAGAGCACCTGTGACACAATGCCAAACCACTCTGAAACCATCAGCCACACTGTGAACGTGCCCCTGCAGACAGCCCTGGGGACCTTGGAGGAGATCGCCTGCTGACAGCCCTCGGACCACTCGGCACCCCCCAAACAGACCTTGAGGCCCAAGACCCAGGACAGGGGACAGCAGACTCAGGCGGGATGGCCCCTGGTGACAGAAAGAAGCAAGAGCCCCCTATGCACACATAGCAAACTCTCTGCCAAGCCTTGCTACAGCCGCGTGGGGCACGACGCGTCCTCGGGCCGCCGTGAGTCCCCTTAGGAGAAACGAGTCACACTCTGGAACTGCCCCAGAACCCATCTGCCATCACATCTCACTGCCAGACGTATACAGCACCTGCATGCTCAGACTCCTCATGGCGCCACCTCCAAGTCTGTCTCTGTCCGTGACACTCCTCCACGCGGTTTCCACGCAGTGGGACCAGGTTCTAGCCCCAAAGTCACCATGAGGCCAGGCTGGAATCACAGCTGCACAATCAAGGGAAACCGCAGAGCTGTCAACTCCGTCTGTCCTTGTGTGATTCCTAAAGGTCCTTAACCTGCCCACCAACCCCTCCCCACCCCAGCTGGCCCACCGGTGCCGGGCCCACGCGCCTCCCACTCCTGCGCCTGTGCTGGAGGAGCGGTGGCCTGGTGACTCCAGCCCACGTCCACGGCGCCCTCGGCGCTCTGCCCTCCCCCGACCTGGCTTGTACAGTCTGATTCTGTCTTTGGGGGGCTTTTACTGTCTGTCAGAGGTCCATTTTGTTTTGTTTTCTGATTTTGGGTTTGATGTTCTGAGTTTGGTTTGGTTTTCCCATTTTCTCTGGCGTTTATTTATTCGTGCTTCCAGTCACGGTCACATTAAAAGCTGGTCTTGTGGAAGTGGCTCAGCGGCGTCTGCCTCTCCCCCACCCTCAGGCCTCTCTCCCCGAGTGCTCAGGAAAGGGCCAGAGCTTCCAGGTCAAAAACCACAGATTATGTGAAGTTTTATGCAACAACACTTACCTTTACAGATTGTGTACATGCTGGATTCTACTGGAAATCTTTAAAAACTACTGATCGTGACCTTGTAAATCACTTCACGACCCACGGACAGGTCAAAGCCCAGGGTCTGAGTGACGCGCCCTGGACCATGCCATGAAGAGGGGGAGGCAGAGAACCTGCCCAGCCCTGAAAACCATAGGGAGGCCTTCACGCCCCTCTGCTCTCTACCTTCTGTCCTGACTCCTCCTCGCCCATCAGTGCAGTTGGCTGGACACAGGCCCAGTGCGGCCTCCCTCCCACACATCAGCCTTCTGGGACCCTCTCTGCACCTCACCTCTTCACCCGTCACACAGGCCTGAAGAGGTCACATTTGCATCCTGTCTCACTCCTCACAGCACCTCAGAGGTTGTCCAGGTGGGAAAGGAGGTGGGAGGTGCCTTTGGTGGGGAGGGGGCCTGCTCTGCCCAGCCCCACTGTGGCAAAGAGAGCTTCCTATTCAGGCAGAATCCTTGTTCTCAAGCCATATGCTAATTCCATGGGGACAGTTCCTTCCCACACCGCTCCCAATTCAAAGTTGTCCCCAGCCCGGGAAGAAAGGTCAGCTGTGGTGTGTGCCTTCAGCTCATGTGCAGATGCACAAAAGCACCGGCCAGACCAGAGATCCCCGTCTCTGGTCCCTGCTCTGCCATGCATGCTGGCTCTCCCCCCCCCAACCCACTCACACAAGGGAAAGGTATTTCCCCCATGTGACCAATTGAAAAAGCCCAGGCAGGAGTCAGGAGTTAGGAGGCCAGTCCCATGCCTTCTTCTCTCAGGAGCTGACTGACCAGGGATGAGACCCTACACCTCTCTGGGCTCAGTTCCTTCAGTTTGAGGATGAAGGTAATACCTGACCTGTGTCTCTGCAGATGACCCCTAGAGGCCCCTCCACACTTGGGGTGCCACGACAGCAACCCTCCCTGCCCCAGGGGACAAGTCAGACCAGCCTCACGCTTGCATAAGCGGTGTTTGGGAGCCCACAATACCGGGGCCACCAGGAGACAGTTGAGACAGAATGTGCCTGTGACGTCTCCTCTCAGCTGAGGTTGTCCATGGCTGTTGGCAAAGCTGGGTTTGAATTCTTAAAAACAGTGTAAAGCTGAGGGAAGGGGTTTTCTATTCCTCCATGACAAATTATGACAAATTTAGCTGCTTAAAACAACACATATATATTATCTGACAGTTCTGGAGGTCAGAAATCTGACACTGGTCTCACTGGGCTAAATCTAGGCATCAGGAGGGCTGGGTTCCCTCTGGAAGCTCTAAGGGAGAAACCCTTTCCTCACCTTTTCCAGGTTCAGGTGGCCCCCACGTCCCTCCCCTCAGGGCCTCTTCCTCCGTTCAATGCCACCAATGACAGGCCAGTTNCCCCCACGTCCCTCCCCTCAGGGCCTCTTCCTCCGTTCAAAGCCAACAATGACAGGCCAGTTCTCACTCACACAACAGCGATGTCAGTAGCCACTGCTCCCTCCAACTCAGAGCCTCTCCTGCTTCCCTCTTTAATTGGTCAAGACCCTGTGATGAGACTGGGCCAATGGATAACCCAGGATAATCTCCCACCTCAAGGTGATTAACTCAGTCACCTCTTCAAAGCCTAGTTTTCCAGGTAAAGTAACATATTCACAGGTTCCAGGGTCATGGTGAAGACAACTTTGGGGGCCATTGTTATCTTGCTATAGAGCCCTTTGGACCCTATAGCCTACTGTCTGCATTTCCAAATGATCAGCCCCAAAAGGGGAGGGAAGGAGTTGCCTAGAGTCACCCAGTAAGTTAATGGCAGTGCCAGTGGTGTGCCCCTAGGCCCCCAAGCTCACACTTCCATTTGTAAACCCACTTAAAGCAAGAAGGACTGAGAGCGATCGTTTTTCCAGACTCTGCCAGGGCATTGAAATCCCTCTCCTGAGACAAACTCACTTCTCACTACTTCAGGCTGGAAAATGCCCTGCTGGTGCCTAGATGGTCAGATTCAGAGGAGCAGAGAGTGTCCTCAGATGCTCCCATCAGGGACAGGAGCCAAATGAGATGTCTCTTCAGTGAGTTTGGAGACTATCAGATGCTCTGCCTTGCCCCAGTTTAAGAGTTTCATAAATTTTTAAAAATCCATAGATTAAGTTGCAATTCAAAGTGCTTCATTGGATTTCTGGCTTCCTTTTCATAAACACACACACACACATACAACTTCAGATCAATTGAGATGGAGCAAAGAATATTCTAATGGGTTTGCATTGCTTCCAGCCTCACATAGCCATGTGCTCCTTCCAATTTGGGGATTCTGGCTTTGTTCACCTGAGAGCAGGTCTACAAACTTAACCTGTTTAAAAGGGAGAGAAAAAAAAAAAAGCAGGAGAGCAAATCAATAGCCAGCTACTGATTATGATTGATTGGTTGTGAACCAAAGACCTAGCTGTCTGCCTAAACTCCTGGGAAGGGTGGGTTTTTTATTACCATCATTTCAGACAATAACCATGTGTGTAAGCATTTCTTTAGTGAGACCTGGAGAGGTTTGTAGACAGAGGAGACATGGGGATATGTCACATTTTCAGAGTGACCCAAGTGGCGATACAAAGGCCAGGAGTCTGGACAAATCACAAACCCGAAACACAAGGTTGGATTGTCAGTAACCACAGAGGGTGAGCTCAATCAATCAATCAATCAATCAATCAATAAAACAAAGGCACCTGACCTGAGAAACAGAAGCAGTGGGGTCTGCTGCAGTGAGGGAGGGAAAGGACTCAGCACTTCATGAGCAGCCTTCCCAGGATGGAACAGGCTGCCTACATACTGTGACTTTGTTGTTTTAGCAGAGAGAGGCCAGAGTTCTTTCATGTTCCCCTTTCCAGCTTGCAGCTATTTTTTTTATTGATTGATTGATTTTGGAGAGAGAGACATCGGTTTGTTTTTCAACTTATTTATGCATGCATCGGTTGATTCTCGTATGTGTCCTGACCAGTGATCAAATCCACAACCTTGGCATATCCAACGGCACTCTAACCGCTATTTTTGTAAGAGACCATGAACATGCTTAGTGAAAAGGGTCCCTAGAGGGTGTCTGGAGAAAGGTGCCTGGTGAGCTGGAAAGAAACAGCTTTGGTAGGTAGCTCTTCCCCAGCTAAAGCTCGGCTCAGCCTGAGAGGCCCAAAGAGAGACCTGGGAGCTCTTCCTTCGCAAACTCAGTGATTTCAATTCGATTGTGAGAACTGAACTCAGTGCAGAGGTAAGAACCTCCAGAAAGCACCAGTGAGTGTGTTCCCCATTACCGAGAAGCAAGGGAGGCTCCAAAGACCAAGGAATTGGTTTCCACAGGGGAGTTTTGCCAGCCCAGATCCACGTGTAGTCAGGCAGACCCTGAGCTGCAGAGAACAAGCTCCCTGGCCCAGCTGGGAAGGCAGCAGGGCAATAAAGCAGGGGAAACACGTGAAGGACACAGATTCCCCACTCTTGCCACTCCTACTGGACATCTGCCCAGTATGTGCTGGGCACCTGCCCTCAAGGAATCCATCATTTGAGCAGAGGATACTGACAAGTCAACAGACGACTAGGAGAGATGAATCTGAGTTTTGGAGTGGAAGGAGAGTGAGAGCGCAAAATATGCACAGCCTGGCGCATGGGGGGGGGGCAGTGGAGGGGATATAGTCCAGGGACTGCACATAGATACAGGGGATCCAAGCATGGAAGTCAAAGGGGAGTGTCCAAAATGACCACTGAGAGCTAGGCAGGTGCCAAAGGATGAAAGGCCAGTTCAACACGCTGAGGGTACCTCATAGCTACAGTCCTCAAGGTCCTTCCTCTGATGTCCAAGTGTCTAGGGAAATATTTCCCAAGCCAAAGGCTGATTAGCTAATGGCTTTCTCCCCATGCATTTGAGATTCCTGACACACTGAATCACTTTGAGCATGCATTTGTGTTTTCTTAAGACAAATAGGTAGAGCGTGCCTGAGGCCATGTGTCCCTGGGGACCACAATGCAGGTGAGTGGACACCACCTACCTGAGGCCAAGTGAGAGGAGGAGAGCCTCTTATTAATCCAATTTAACATTCAGTGAAACTTACGCCCACAGGCTTTGTAGAAACAACTGGTTGGCAAAGGCTTTAGACAGAGGGTCAAAAAACTGTATTTCTAACCCATTTCTGCGGTAAACTGACCATATACCTCTGGACAATCCGCTCCATTTTTCTGAGACTAAGTTTCCTCCTCTATAAAAGGAGAAGGGATGGAAAATGGAGAACAAATCTCCCTAGTGGGTCAACTCTAACAGCCCATGAGTCTCAGTTGAGAATGGTGTCAGCTGTCTCCGCAGATATTTAATTCACTGCTTAGAACCTCTATTTCCCATCTTTACGCTGGAGATCAGGACGCCTAGTTCTCAGGGTAATAATGAGATCAAATGAGTTAAGGTCTATACTTTCTATCTTCTCTTGATTTCTTTTTTCTTCCTGTAAAACATTGATTCTTGATCTTACTTGGATCACTTGTTTGTATTAAAAACAAGGTGAAAGTTGTGAACTTTCTTCCCAGAAAAAACAATGCACAGGGTCACATAGACAGGGATAAGATTTGCCCACCATTTGAGGAGGGTTATGGAGCCCCAGACCCTGTGTGTGATCCCCAAGGGGGCACAGATGCTCTGCAAAGCCACCTGGTGCAGAAAGTGTTAACCCCTCGTCCAGAAGAACATCCCAGAACTACACGGAGCAACCAACATTTCTTCCCCTAAAATGCCATAATGCCTGCCAATTTTCAATTTACCGGGGGGGGGGTGACAGGCAGGGTTTGATCAGTTTCAAGGTCTCTCTCCCATCATTTTTAAACCTCTGGCACCTGCTGCAGCTTGTGCATGGAGTGAGTTCTCACAGAGGGAGCAATGAATGAATGAGCAGAAAATGGATATGAACAGAGAACCTGGGAGCCATGATTTCATAAAATTATCTTGTGCACATGGTGATTTGGAGGGCTGAGGCGGCCTGCCGACAGAGCAACTGCAGCCTCACTGTGCAGACATCCCTGTGGCCTGGTTCTCAAGGAATGAGCGCAGCCAGTGCACTGCAGGGGGAAATGCACGCGAAACATTCTCTGCCTGCCACGGAGCCCGGACATGCCCCACTGTGAACATCCCATTCATTTCTGAGCAGCACTGCAAAGACGGTTTTGTTTAAAAAAAACAAACCGCCTCCTGATACTGGCTGTGATTGATGCCTTGGGGTGGGGAAGTTCACCGTCTAGGCCCCTTGAAGCTGGTCTTCACTCCATGTCTCTGAAGGAAGTGGCTCATTGGCTACATTACCATAATTATGGGCCATTTTTCTTTAGTGTGATTCAGACATTGGGGCTTCCTTTCAAAAGGATTTACATCCCAGTTAAAGAGGCCCAACACGAAGTGATTGGTAGACACCAAAAAATACCCAGCTCAACTCACTTAAGGGTCAAGCAGCCTCCGGAAGAAGACTTCCCAGCACGAGGCAGGGGTCTCTGGCCGGATTCCCTCGTTCCACGATCATATCCTGGTGCCCACCATGTAGCTGGCACTATGCTAGGCACTGGGGGTTCATATGTCAAGAAGACAGAATCTCTTGTCCTGGCTGGTGTGCTAAGTGGTTAGAGCATCTACCAGAAAACGAAAGGATTATGAGTTCGATTCCTACTCAAGGGCAAGTACCTAGCTTGCAGGTACACAATACATCATGTTTTAATGTAAGTAGGTCTCATGCAGTATTTGGGACACACTCATAGCAAAATTTATTTGTCGTGTATCTGAAATTCAAAATTAACTCAGGCATCTTGTTTTTGATGTTATCATTGTTTATTGTTTATTTTATTTTGTTTATTTTTTCTTTCCTGACTTGTTTTGATAAATCTGGCAAACTTAGATTCAGGTAAAGGGTCTAAAAACTCTGCCAGGTATGTTCAAGGGACGCACTGAACCCCTGCCCCCAAGACCTCCCAAGAATGAAGGTAAACCTTCCGGGGTAGGCTTTTGAGAGCCGGCCTTAATCCCAGCTCAAGTGGACAGGTGAAGAAACCTCGAGGTGCTTTGGCTCCAACGTGACACCTGAAATCCCAGTGAGAGCTGAGAAGCACAATTATGTTAAAATATTCTTTATTAGTTGACTTGTGTTCCTTTGTGGGAAAGGGCCCAAAGCACATCTCCCAGCCTGCTGAGCATGGCCTGGTCCATCCAGAGAGGATCCTAGTCGTTACAGCCTTCCACCCAGTCCCTGAGGTCCTTGCCCATGCAGTGATGCCTCCAGGTCTCCCTGAGGATGGAGAGTGGAGAGAGGAGAGACCAAATCAGCTGCAGCCGTCAGTCCCTGCTCAGTGAAGAAAGGAAGGCACTTGGGCCCTAAACCAGAAATTAGGAGAGGAAAGGGGCTAGCAAGGAAAAGAAAGAAAAGTAAACTGTGTTAACTAGCAAAGAACCAAAAAGGAACAGAATGGCCCTTAAAAAGAGTCACCTACAACCCCTTACCTGGGGCTCTGGTTCCAGGGGCTCCTTACTTTGATAACTAGTATTCTCATGATGTCGATGTCAAAGAGCCCCATGACCAGGAGTGTCCCTAAAGGACCTCTCTTGCCCTATCACACAAGAGTGGTCTACTGGCTCCATGGTCTCTTCCATTAGACTGTGAGGCCCTTGAGGGCAAGGACTTGGGTCTCAGCCATCTCTGTGGCCCAGCGCCCTGCACAGAGCAGGTGCCAATGTGTGGCCTGGGAGGAATAAGTAGCACCCTTTCCACATCCTGGGCCCGCTCCCTACCAGCCTCGGCTACCTCGGTTACACATTTCATGAGCTTGCTCCCGCTGTACAAGAGAGTTGCTCTTTGATGTAACACAAAACGACCAGTTTCTCCCATCCCAGGGTGGCACCCCAAGGCTCAGGGCCTTGGACTCCTGCTGAGCCTGCATGCACACTGCCTGGTTTTACCCGTGTGCGTTGTGTCCTGGGGGCCTGCCTCACTCCAATCCAGTCCTAGGGCTTCCTCTGTTCTCACCCAGCATTACTCCTAAGCTGTGGCCATTGTCCAGGCCCATCGCAGACCTTCTCTGTACTCACAGCCATGCTCACCCCTCCTCTGCCTCACTAGCCGCTGATCACCACCCCCTGCTCCACAGCCCCTCATGCCCAACCCTTCTCCAGTCCATCACCCGTGTTCCTGTCCCGGTCCAGACCCAAAATCCCTCCTACACTCCTGCAAAGATCCTCTGCTGCTCCCCCTGCCTCTAGTCTCTCCCTAGACATTTGGTGACTTTACCAGCCTTGTCACTATCACACCCGCCCATGGTTCTGGTTGCACCGCCACCTGGACTATCTGACCTTCCCCACATTCTCCCCCTGCTGGTCTATGAGGAAAGGGAGGTTGGAAACTCTAAGTGACGCTGCCACCAGAAGATGCTGGGCAGCTGTTGGGCCACTGCTTCCGAGGACCTTTTCTGAACCCAAGCCCCATCGGTCCCCTCGGACTCCCTTGCCTGTGAGGAGGGCTTCCCATCAGGTGGGAAAGAAGCGGGAAAGGGGAAGGCTGGCAGGGTGAGGCTCCAGAGAGCCACCCTGCTCAGGCAGGGAGTCTATTATTTCATCTGTTATACACTGTGAGCCTTTAAAAAACGATGCCACCATTAAAAACAAACAAGAAAGGTTTACTAGACGCAGCTCTAGTGGACCTGGAGGCAGGCACCCCGACATAGGCAAAGCTTGAAGGAGCCAGGCTGGCTCCACGGCCCCCAGGGAATTGCTTATTCCCCCTGAAACGCAGGGTGCTGGCTGTCATACTTCAGTGGCGGCTATGCCCCCATGGAAGGCGAGGGGTTCCACTGTGAAGCTACAGAATGGTGCTGGGACAAGGCGGGCACTCAGCAAAGGATAGCTCCCTGCAGCTGTCCACACCCTGGCCCCATGCCCTGGGGCTCCAGCCCAAGTTACTTACCAGCTGCTCAGCCCCTGGGGCTGTTGACTTATCTTCATGGCACAGATAACAGAATTCTTAAGGTCAGGTTCCAATAGCTCTGGGGTGGGAGGCAGAGAAACAGGGTGAGGAAGCAGGGGGCAGAAGAGCTGGACATGCATGAAGAATGTGTCTGTCTGTCTGTCTCTCTCTCTCACACAGACACACACACAGACACATAGACCCCCCCCCCTCCACACACATACTCTTCCATCCTAAGCTCAACCCTGTCTCTCGACCCCTCTGGAAGCACAGGCATCACTCTGTCACTTTTGTCTCTTATCGGGAGCAATCCCTGTTCCATTCCTGGGCTCTCAGGACAGCCTCCCACCTGGGAACCCAACTCAGGTTCATGGAGGACCTGCCCTCATCACTGACTCCATCACACCCTCCTTGGCAGGAACAGAAGGATGGAAGGGATCCCCACTCAGAGATAAAGGCCAGAGGAGAAAACAATCCAGAAAGAAGCACAGGCTGGGGCAGAGGCCTGGCCCCCGCCAGCCCGGGCTCAGGCCCTCCTACCGGTGCAGTACATGTTGCACCACTTGTGGGTATATTCCTTCAGAGTTTTGCACCACCTCCGGCTGTTGATCTGGAAGATGCCATTGTTGGTGCTTCCATCAGCTTCATGGTCCACAGCAGCTGAGTCAAAGCCACTTGCGTAATAAGCAAGACAGAGCCCTGTATAGGGTGGAGACACAGACCAATGAGTCAGACCAACATTGTCAAGGCCACCCCAGACCAGAGAGCTCACAGTGCAGGTCCCAGGTGCCAGCTCCTTCAAGCTCAACTCGTGCTTTGAGGTGATCGGGGCAAATGTCCTCCCACCTCCTGGACTAAAGAATCCACCGAACCTCAGAGGGGCAGAGTCACTGCTCAAGANGTGATCGGGGCAAATGTCCTCCCACCTCCTGGACTAAAGAATCCACTGAACCTCAGAGGGGCAGAGTCATTGCTCAAGGTTCCAGACAGCTACCAAATAGCAAATCAGGGCTGGACCTCGGGCCTCCTGCCCCTAGGCCTGCAGTCTTCCAGTTGTCTCCCTGCTCTGCACGTACTGAAGCCCAACAAGTGTTTGTGGATGAACGAATGAGAATCTCTAAGGCAAGATTGGGAAGATGCAGGTGGGACCTGTCGAGGGGCTGGAACTAGAGTAAAGGAGTCCATGGGGCTCCACTTCACAGCGTCCCCAAACCCCCACCAGATGGAAGTTTGGTTACTGGCTTCCCCAGTTTGCCCTGAACTTAGTGGGCATGTCCGAGCTCATGCCCAGATGAAGATGAGGCCACTAAACTGTTCTGTGGACTCGAGCACTGGGGGCAATGACGGGG